ACTTTTAAATGTCAATCAAAGTATCCTTCACTTTATCCTGTTGATGCATCAAAAATGGATTTTCTTGGGTTATTCTAAAGTTACAATCTTACAAGAGTGAACATTTATTCAACCAATGTGGTTATTCTGACCAGACTGGAACTAGATGTGAGTCAAAATGTGATATTATGGACCTCCAGGTGAGCAAACAAGATGCCGATAGCTTACCCTGACAAAAATATATTTTTTTAATTTCTCCTCCATGTAGCTACAGCAGGGTTTCCCCCAGCGTATTATAAGCCTGGCAGCCCGCCATGCAAGTCAGAGTCCATGAGCGATAGAGCGATTAATAAAAGGCCACATTTAACATCATATATTAGCGCAAATATTGTAAAAATTCCTTACAAATATTTCTAAATAATAATAAGTGAAAAGATATTCAATGTTATGTTATTTTAAGAAACACTTATTGAATGCTGAAACACCAATTTATTGATATTTTAACAATTTAATTGTTTTTTACCAATACGATCTGGCCCTTTCAGAACATTCAGATTTTTGATCTGGCCCAAAATGGAAATGAGTTTGATGCCCCTGAAATATGGGATAAAAACAAGTGAATCATGGACTATTTTGAATGTAAACAATAAAGAGTGAGATAGAGCACTCACTCTTTAGCTGTGTCTGAATTCAGGGTCTGCATCCTTCAAAGGACCGGTCTACATAGGACGGGTCCTTAGAAGTCCGGGAATAAACAAAGGCCGGAAGAAAAATATTTGTGGATTCGGACAGGTGTGGCTTCACCAACTGTCCCCGCCCCGACTTGAGCGTAACTCATGTTGCCAAGCAACCGTGACAGTGTGAAGCAGAGAGCAGAGAAGAAAAAAAATGGGGCTTTACCCCATGGAGCGTGCCCCCCTGGGGACTGCCTTTTTGAGGAGCTCATTTTGTTTTCTCTGTAGGGTCTCTGGGCTCCCTTTGAGGTTGGGTGAGACGCCCAGAAACCCAGGAGTCATTGATGTTTATACATTTGTACAGGGTTTCCCCCAGTGTATTGTAAACCCCCTGGCCCACCTACATCAACATTAAGATATCCATCCATCCATCCATTTTCTTCCGCTTATCCGGGGTCGGGTCGCGGGGGCAGCAGCTTCAGAAGGGAGGCCCAGACTTCCCTTTCCCCAGCCACTTCTTCCAGCTCCTCCAGGAACCCCAAGGCGTTCCCAGGCCAGCCGAGAGACACGTCCCTGGGTCTTCCTCGGGGCCTCCTCCCGGTGGGACGTGCCCAGAACTCCTCACCAGGGAGGCGTCCAGGAGGCATCCTGACCAGATGCCGAGCCTCAACTGGCTCCTCTCGACGTGGAGGAGCAGCGGCTCTACTCTGAGTCCCTCCCGGATGACCGAACTTCTCACCCTATCTCTAAGGGAGAGCCCAGCCACCCTGCGGAGGAAAACCATTTCGGCCGCTTGTATCTGGGACCTCGTTCTTTTGGTCATGACCCAAAGCTCATGACCATAGATGAGGGTAGGAACGTAGATCGACCGGTAAATCAAGAGCTTCGCTTTTTGAATCAGCTCTCTCTTCACCACAACGGACCGGTACAGCGCCCGCTTCACAGCAGATGCTGCACCAATCCACCTATCGATCTCCCGCTCCCTTCTTCCCTCATTCGTGAACATCATTAACTAGAACATTAAGATATTAGGGATGATATCAAATGTTC